CAGTTGGTAACATTTTTTAAAATATGTGTTCTCTTGTGTGCTTCTTTAGTCTGTGTGTGTGTGTGTGTGTGTGTGTGTGTGTGTGCGCCCAAGTGAGTAGGCCAGACATTCTGCTGTGTGCCTCACTGTCTACATTTTCCTGACTACTCACCTGACTATTTTCTGATGGTAATTTCAATCCTGACTACAGTTTTTGGTAAGAGCACTACAGGAAGTGATGTGTCCTTCCTGCTGTTTCACATCCAGGGGCATGGAATGCCATTTTGTGCCATGACTGATGGCACTAAGTTTGAGCATCTGGTTAAGGAGGCGTGCTTCAGATCTCATGACAACAGGACCTGTCCCAGGCACATAGGCCTGTCGTCCCAGTCCTTAGGAGGTGAAGACAATGACTAGGAGTTCAAGGCCAGCCTCCACTACACAGCACGTTTGAGTCCATTCTGGTCTATAGAGGACCTTGCCTTCAACAACAGAAACAGTACCTTTCTCCTTTCAATGCATCATAATTTGTAGATAAAATTGTTTATGCCATGGGGGAATCAGTTATCATCAATGGCTGTCAGTTATCACTGGCAACTTCCTAATTGCTATTCTGACCTCTATTTGCAGGCACTGTTCAGTACAGAAGAGCCTTTACTTTCTAGCACCACCCTGCAATGTTCTCCATTAGTTTTTAATGGAAATATCAAAAAACCACCTTTAAAAATTGCTTCTCAAGTTTGAAATGTTGCATTTAATGTAAGATGTTTGCCTTCATATGAGCAAACGCTTCCTTTAAGGACAGTCTGGGGTCCCAGGCTTAGAGTTCTTTACCAGGTTAATAAAAAAAATTATTTCTTTTCCTCCTGTTATGCAATGACCTCAAAATTAAAACCTGCAAGTATCGTTTACACTAAATCAGAGATAAGAAGAAAGGAGATTACCTGGAGTGTTAGAAAACCCTAGGATCTAAGAATTCTGTTTGTAGACATGTGTACCTGTAAGCGAAAGTCCTAAAACGTGAGTTGAAGAGCCGTGAGAAGCTATGGGTAAGGTGCACTCACCCTTATTCATTCGTTTTCAACCTTAGGTTCTAAAATTTTATTAGTCTTAGGATATTCTTCTGTTCCTTCAATTGGAAATGCAAAGCATGAGGCAGAGTAAACTTACTGAGTCAACAAACAACCACAGCATAGGTGGGAAGCTTGACTCTACTCAAAACTTCTGTGCGATGACAGCACTGGCTTTGAAATGCTGGATGATGAAGCAGAATTGTACATGCATGCAGAGACACAGACAGACACAGACAGACAGACAGACAGACACACACACACACACACACACACACACACACACACACACACAAAGCATTGCCTTTATCTCCTCCACAGAAGAAAGGTACACTCTGAACTTTAACACTGCACAGTATTTAACCTGTACCATTCTTACGATGAGTTTCAAAAGAAGGCCATGTTACCGTATATGAAACTGATTGTATCTATCATCACCGGATGGTTTTTTAATAGCTACTGCCAATTTTTTCCATCCTTCTTGAGGATCAATAAAATCTGACAGCTTCCTAATTAGTCCAACATTGAGGCTGCGCACATATGTTGATGGTGTTACAGGTTTGTTCATCTTCTCCCTGAAATACAGAAAATTCTCATAAACTCTCTTTACGATAGTTTCAGAGCCAGCACTGCAAGGCGGCCCAGCACAAGTTTCTGTCAAGAACCGATTATCTGAAAACAACGGAACACTCTAAAGTTACCTCGTTGATAGCTAGAAGAAATCCCAATCGAAAGCTGTCTACTTACCCTCCAGCTTATTTCCTTTTTCCACCTATAAATATCAACAAAGCATTGGAGGACATCATTGTGACACTGGCATTTTCTTAGTGAAATTTATATTAACAAAATCAAAGTTGATCTGAAAAATTCTCTCCCCCAAATTTAAAGTACTTTTCACCATTAGTACTCATTCCCTATTAAATTTTTTTATGCAACAATCTTGGTAAAAGTGAAAAATGAAGTGTATTTATTTATATAGGATTTAAGGACACGTTCCATTTACCTCTTTTCACGTGGTGTATTCTTACTTGACCCCTGTGAGGTTTTGAGTCTGTACGATCTGCACAGCTGCTGTTCTCCACGCCAGAATCCATGCTTACCACATTAGCTATTCTCTGCACAGAACCTTTATCCTCAGGCCTGCTTTCTTCTAGCACTCCACCTTAGAGAGCGGCAGCCAGGGGCGCCTCACAATCTTACTTGTACGCTGGAGCTGCAGAGCACAGCTGTCGGGTACAGGACGGACTGCTGGGACTCTGGCCTCCAGCAGACTTCAATGCCGCTACTTCTCCTCTCCCTGCCCTTACTGGTGCCTCCCTCTTTTCCCTCTCTCCCTGGGTCCTCTGTGTCCCCCATTCAAAAGTGATAGCAAGAGAAATAGACTCAGATATTACTCTTTCAATGATTTGTTTCCATAAATTTCATTTTTATTATACTTTAAACTCCATGAATTTAGGACCAGATTCATTTTATCCATTAATATATACCTAGTGAACTGTACAATGTAGATATTTGTGTTATATGGTATGATTTGGATCTGATATACCTCCCAAAAGCTTATGTTTTGAAGGCTTGGTGTTTCAAGCCTAATATAGAGTTTAGAACTGGGGCTTTAGGGGCATCAGATCATGAAGGCTCTTATAGAATCAATGGATTCATTCGTGGATGCATTCAGAGTTTAATGGGCTACTAGGAGGTGGAGGTAACAGTACGAGGCAGGTCCACCTAAAGGAAGAGGGTATCTGGGGTGTGACCATGAAGGGTAGGGGTCCAGGCCCCTTCCTGTCTTTTCTTTTTCTTTGCCTCTCTCTGCCCCCACCCTCATTACAAGGTAAGCAGTGTTGCTAAACCACGTGCTCTGTGCCACGTTTTCCCGCAGCAGAATCTTTCAAACAATTGATCCAAGTGTCCACGGACCAAAACCTCTGAAGTCAAGAACCCAAATAAATCTTCCTTCCCTTCAGATGGCCTTCTCAAGAATTGTGTCACAGCGATGGGAAGCTAACAAACGCACTACGTCAGGGTCTTTATTGCTGAGCACCACACTAGGTGACTTCCATAATTCACTAATCCTCTCAAAGAATGAAATTTGTCACCTCAACTCTACAAAAGTAGTAAACTTTAGCTAGGATTTGAACTTATATATGGCCTTGAAACGTATGTCACATGACTCAACTTCTATACTCTCATGCGTTCTCATCCCATTCTCTTTTCTTGTCCTTTTACTTATTACTACAAGTTCAGCAGACATATAAGGCAGGTTTTATATTAATTGATGGGAGTGCAAAGAAATGCATTTGTTCCTAAACAACACAAGTGCTGAACATTACAAGAGGTGTATCTAGGGTGGTATGGGATCCAGAAAAGGAACAGTCACAGGCAGTCAGAATTAGGAATACCAGGACACATCAAGTAAGGGAAAGGTTGAAGAATGAGTGAAAGGGAATACGGATAAACCCCAAAGGAAGCTCTGGGCAGAGGGAATAACCTGGATAAATGAAGAACATGGGTTAGGCTCAAGGCAGGACGCTACAATGGCTGGACCACAGGTCACATCACATGTTGCTAAGTGAAAAGAGATGAGGGGTGGGTTCAGACCTCCTCCATTGGGGTACCTGCTGGGAGCTCATCAGACTGCCAGAGTGTGCTGGGTTCTTGCCTCCCTCTAGCCTCCAACTACTAGAGGGCCTGGGAACCCAGGGGACAGACTGACAGCCCCTGATCCTGCTTCCACATGGTAGTGAGCTTCCCCTAATTGTGCAATAACATCCCCCTGCCTGAGATTTTGTGAGTCCCCTCCCAAGGCCCCAGGGCAGATCTGCCTTTGGTAGTCTAAGGCTGGAATCTCAGCAGCCAGCCAGAGAGTTCTGGCCCCACTCTGGCCTCCCTCTGGCATAGGGTTGACAACACACAGGACTGCCTGAGAAAGCCAGGATTCTGCCTCCACACGGTGAAGGAAGCCTGAATGTATCTGACTGGAACCTGAATTGGGCTTCTGTGGATACTCCTGAATAGCTGATCTGAAGCCATCAGTTCCCTCCAAAATAAACCTGAGAGAACCTGAACCCTGCCAACCAGCTTTACATAACCAATAAAGAAAGGCATCTGGATAATACAATTAGAAGCATACTTCAACTTAATTCTTGTATAAGAATCATAAACAACAAAAGAAATTCACATGCCAAAACCACAACGAAAAAATAATAAAATGGAAAGCCAAAACACTATGTCCCCACCAAACCCCACCAATCCTGTAGAAGAGTTCTACAAGGAGAGCTCCCTAGAGATAACCCAGGACACTAATTTAAAAGAACAATCATAAACATGATCAAGGAATTCAACGAATTTAAAGAACACATGAACAAACAAGTCAAAGAGCTAAAAGAAGATAGAGATAAACTGAATGAATTCATAAAAGAGATAGAAACAGTGAAGAAAACTCAGGCAGAAATGAAGAAGGAAGTGCAAAACTCAATAAGCCAACTTGAAACAACAGGGGAAAGCCTCACCACTAGAATGAATGAAATGGAAAACAGAATATCAGCACTGGAGGATAAAGTTGAAGAACCGGACCACTCAAGCAAAGAGTACGGAATATTTTAAAAAACACAGGAATGGAATATGTAAGAGATGTGGGACACCATGAAAAGACCAAATCTATGGATCATAGAAATAGAGGAAGAAGAAGAATTTCAGACTGATGGTGTTGACCAGATCTTAAACAGGATTGTAGAAGAGAATTTCCCAAAATTAAGGAAAGACATCCCCATACAAATACAAGAAGCACATAGAACACCAAATAGAAAGGATCAGAAAAGAAACTCCTCATGACATATCATATTAAAAACACTAAATGTATAGAACAAAGAGAGAATACTGAAAGCAGCAAAAGAAAACAACAAGTCACATACAAAGGAAAGCCCATCACAATTACAGCTGACTTATCATTGCAATCTATGAAAGCCAGAAGAGCCTGGATCAAGGTATTTCCGGTTCTACATGACAATAGATGTCAAATCTTCCACCAAATGAATACGCCGTAAGAAAACATGTCCGCAAAACCAGCCCTTTAAAGAATACTTGAAGCAATACAAAGAATGAGGTATGGGCAATAGAAACTAAATGAAGCTATAGTTGTAGAAACACAAAATTACACAGAGAATACAAACAGAAATCAAAATGATGGCAACCAATACACAGCTTTCAATAATAACCTTAAATTTCAATGGACTGAACTCCCCAGTCAAAAGACACAGGCTAAGCAAATGGATTAAGAAACAAAATCCATCTCTTTGCTGTTTGCAAGAAACCCATCTCACCTTCAAGGACAGGAACTACCTTGGGGTAAAAGGATGGAAAAGAATATTCTAAGCAAATGGCACTAAGAAACAAGTAGAGGTTGCAATTCTAATATCTGACAAAATAGACGTCAAAGTAAAACTAATAAGAAGAGATAAGGAGGGTCAGTTATTCTGATCAAAGGAACAGTTAACCAAGAAGATATTACAATCCTTAACATATATGCACCAAATTCTGGTGCACTCAAATTCACAAAACAACACCTACAGGTCTTTAATACACAGATTAACCTCATCTCAGTAATAGTAGGGGACTTCAATACCCCACCAACTCCATTACACTGGTCAACTGGACAAAGAATAAACAGAGAGACATCTGAATTAAATGATACCGTACATCAAATGGACCTAACAGACATCTTTCAATTATTCCACCCAAACACCAAAGAATACACTTTCTACTCAGCACCTCATGGAACTGTTTCAAAGACTGACCACATACTGTGCCACAAAACAAACTTCAACAAATACAAAAAATATTGAAATAATTCCATGCATTCTATCAGACCACAAAACACTAAAGCTCAAAATTAACACCAGACAAAGCTCTAGTCACTACATGAACTTGTGGTGATTGAACAACATGTTCCTAAAGGTCAAAGGAGAAATTAAGAAAGAAATAAAAGAATTCCTGGAATTCAATGAAAAGGACAATACAACACGACACAACCTCTGGGACACACTAAAAGCAGTCCTAAGAGGGACGTTTATACCTCTAAGT